AAAGAGCATCAGTCTGTTAGAAAAAAACTAATTAGGCAAACCTAATAAGCCTTTGGCGAGTTAAATTTGATTAAAATCTGGTACACTGAGTTCTTTAAATTCTACCCAGAATTTAAAGACCCCAGAATGTTGGAAATTAATCCTGTATTCTAAGTTTATTTGTTAAAGAATTAAATGCCCAGGCTGGATAATATATTCAGTTTTGCTCAGGAAATGCTGATTTGAAGGCAGAATATCAAGACAGACACAATAAATGTCACCTGTAAAAGTACTTGTTGAGAAAACAGCAAAATGGTCACAGTATTTTCATCAAAATTTTTGAATCCATTCTGGATCTTCTAGAAGATAAAGCACAATAGTGGTAATGTGAATAGCCCTCCCCCCTCATTATCACAGCAGGTGTCAATGCCTTCTGGCTGTCATCTACACTGCACCCATCCTTCTGTAAATCAGCTCCACATGCTGGCACTGCAGTGGCAGATTCTTAGCACAAAAATCTCCAAAAGTCGTCTGCAGGTGACTTTTGGACATTCAATTTTTTGGTCACATTTTCATTGAGTTCTAATCAATGGTGGTATTTGAGACAAAATAATTTCACATGGTGTTTTCTGCTGTTACGTTCTGTACATCAGTTGGGCTTTCAGATAACAATCACACTTTTTTTGAGGGGCCTCAATACCAAAGTAGGATGCAGCCTTTTTAATTGTGAGGCAAACACACTAGCTATACTGTATAGCCTCGAAGCAGCATGTTGTTCTCTGCGGTTCACTCTCAGTTTCCGAGAACGTTTAAGACCACAAGCGAAGAAGTGGAATCTTTACATAATTATCCTTAGAGAAGGGCCAGGTTATGTCCTTCCTCCATGGGCTGAGCACTGTGAGGAGCATTTTGTTATTATGCATGTAGTGACCTGTACTTTGTAGTTCTAATTTATCGCATGGAAGACTATTTATCTAATTAATTATGCAGCCCGAAAACCACTCTACACTTTCCATGACATAAGCCTGAACATCCACCATAACAAACAGTCCTTCT